GTTTTTTCAGTCTATTTTGCCACTATTGGTGTAATTTAACTTTAATTGTGATGCAATGTGCACTAGTAGTGTAAAGAAAAAAGAGCTCTTAGTAACATCAAAACAGACAAAGAAATTGGCATGCACTGTAGTGTACATTTTGTCACTGTTTAACACATTAAGGGGTAATAAACACTCGTATTAAGTTTTTCTACCCTTTTGATTTATTTTAATAATAAATAGTGTGAATGTAACAATGAATAATGTTCATATTCTTTAAATGTGTTTAATAAAGTTAATAAGAACTAAATGCTTGCTACCTAGTGTATTTTGTAGTGTTACTTTTACACTTACAAATCAACTCTAATATTTTTACCCCTACACTAAAAATTTTTTTTGTTTTATTTTTAATGACCTAAATAAATGTTATGTTTAATCGTGTTGTTTTTATTTTATATTGAATATTTTAGGCGGTTGAGGCCTATTTTAGGCACTTTCGACCTAAAACGGCCTAAAATGTAGGTTTTATTGCCTATTTATGTGTCCTAATTTTCAATTTGTAAGGACCTAAAATCCGCTATTTGTTAATTATATAATATTTTTACAACCCTTACAATAATAATTAGATAGACTTAAAAGGATTATAAACGCTTTAAGAATTTCAAATCGATATATTTTTCCGTTCCCCAGAAACACGAATGTGAAACACCCTAAGAGCATAAACATCTATTAAGTAAGTACCCTTGGTACATAGATAACAATAATATGCTTTACGTTATGTCTTTTTTAATTTTATAAATCGTTAAATATTTTTTAAATTTCACAAGCAATTTCACCTCTAAATACTGCCGGCATGCCAACATTAAAGTGAGAAAAACCCAAATGTGACTTAATAATTTTCATCATAACGCGACGGGATTATTGCAAGTTGGCTGTGCCGTTGTGCCAGAAAAGTTAATTGCGCACATTCGAATGGCATCGTTTATTTCATTAAAAAGTTCCTAATGGCAACTTCGTTTGGATAAAGTGTATAAATTAAATTTCAAGCGGGTATTTTAACTTTAAAGTTGCTTTATGCGCACGACATACGCGGTGAAAAGCTGATAGTGCAAATTACGTGTTTATTTTGTTAATTACAGTCAATTAAATTTAAGTTTATTACGTTTTATGTAATTTAGATGTAAATACAAGCAATAAGTATATTTTTCTGCCATTTAAAGTAACACCGTAAGCTGAATTTCGAATTCAATTTTTTTTAAATAGCGTCGTACTTTTAAAATGTTAACTTATTTTTCAATAGAAAATAACTTAGATACTTTTCAGTGTAACTTAGATACTTTCTTAGAGAAAATTGGGGGAATTCCAGAATGATTCAAAGTAACTAACCTACAACTTGTTGAATTTTTATAATTTTATAGTTTTTATTCAAACTTAAAAGTAACTTAGTTACTCAAAAGTATCTTAGTTACTTAAAAGTATCTTAGTTACTTAAAAGTATCTTAGTTACTTAAAAGTACTTAGATTCTTTCGGATAGTATCTGTTTTGAATTGTAGTGGACTGTATTTATTGTATTTAAGGATATTTTTGTTGCCGAGTTTTAATTGAATAAATCAATCTTCAATTTTGCTGCTTGATTTTATTTAATGAATCTTTTTACAATGTATATTGAATAGCGAGCAATGCAAAACTACTTAAAAATAATCCAAACCTACGTTATTTACAAGTGTGGGGGGGACAGCTGTACTATACCGAGCGGTTTCAGCGCTCCGGCATAATACTGACTGTTCCCAAAAAATGAACAAATTTTAAAATAAATCGCAAAATCCAACAGTATCTTAGATACTTTTTAAAGTATCTTGTAACTAAAGATACTTTTAACTCAAAGTATCTAGTTACCAGAGGTAACTAAGTTATTTTGTTTAAAGTATCTTAGAAAAGTAACTAGATACTTTTCAGAAGTAACTTTCCCAGCTCTGGTTTTATCTATGGAGGACATGACTTGCTGACATGTAGGTTTTGGCCTTTTGGTCTTAAAACATATTGACAAATACCGCATTATTTTCTTAAACAATTTTAATCTTTGTTTGTTGAGAAGGTATAGGTAACCACTTTTTTCTACTCCCACCTATAAAACGCCCTTTATCGTACATGTTTCCATGACACTAAGTGACCTTTTAAATACACATTGACAAGTTGTGGCTTTATGGCGCTTTAGTCAAGGGCTGAAGTTAGCAACAGATTTTTAGTCACGGGCTGAAGTTAGTTTTACGTTTGTTGACGGTTGTCAAATGTCATACAATCTTTAAAATAAATTGCCTTTCTTGTAAAATAATACTAAATGTGAAAATTATTTTATTATTTCAATACAAAAAGATTAAATAGTTTTCCAAAGCCAATATTTTAAAAGTTGATATGAACATTGTACTGACCTTTTAATTTCGCCGGCACGGACTCCACTGTAAAGTGCTCATAAAACATTTTCTTTACTTTCACTGTGAAAAAATGTCAATTTTCAAGAAATACATTTCGATTTATAACCTTTATAAGTTGATATGAACATTGTACTGACCTTTTAATTTCGCCGGCACGGACTCCACTGTAAAGTGCTCATAAAACATTTTCTTTACTTTCACTGTGAAAAAATGTCTATTTTCAAGAAATACATTTTGATTTATAACCTTTATAATTGTGTTTATAAAATGTAAAAATTTGACATTTGACGGTGACACACAGATTCCCCAATTGTTGCATAGATGGCGCTCTATACAAATTTTTTATTTAAATCATTTTAAGATAATACTTAATAAGTATTTGTCGTAGAAAAAGTATAGTATGCACCTCGTTTATAAACTTTTCTATACACTCATTAATTTAAGCAATCGCTCGAAAGCTCGCTCGTGCCTAAATTAAATTCGTGTATAAAACGGCGTTTATCAAACTTGATACATAATATACTATTATTTTCCTGTTCTAAGAAAGCAATTTACAGAATAATCATATTTGCCTAAAATAATTATATTTTAGTCGATTTTAGTTTATTAATTAGGTATTTATCTTTATTAGATTTCCAATTAATTTTAAAAATAAGAATACATTACCTATAAAATTAAACGTTGGCGTGTAACATAAAACACTAATTTTTGGAAATAAATGAATAATGCCCCAAAGTTTAGGCAGTTCTTTTATAGTACCCATATACGGGTTATAATCTCGATATATGGATTATAATCTCGATCTATAACACTATGGTACAAATAATCTTGATTTATAACCATAGAAAAGGGGTAAACCACTGATTTTTTAAAATTAAAAATCGCTTACGAATTAACGGCTATAAGGACAACAATAACAAGGGTAGTTATGTACAACGCGTCGCTAAGCACTGATTAAGCACCGATTAAGTTTTCCTTATTGATAACGACTGATAAGAAAAAAAATCTTAACACAACGTCCACTAAAATTGAACGTTGGTCTCTAAGATTTTAAATTGGTTTACCCCTCGAGTTATATCGCGAGATGAACACTTTTGATTAACACAAAGTAATGTTGACGCATCGCTTGGACTGCTACTGAAGGCCCCCCTCATTGTTTCAAGATCTATCGAAATACCGAGTGATTTCCGACAAATACTTAAAATAATTTTATTAAGAAGGATTTAGCCAAAAGAATCGAGAGTTTGAATCAAATGCATCAGCTATTTTAGCCGAATGCCAAAGAATTTGCAACAAGTTAACTTTCTTCAAACTAAAAGAATAATTTTCAAATAATGGAATCTAATCCGATTTCTTTGGCCTATAAATGCATTTACCTTGCCTTAAAGTAATTAAATGTCAAAAGAATCGAGAATTACACCTAAAGGCAGCAATTATCTTATACGAAGGGAAACGGATTTAAAATAAATACAGTTTCTTTCAACTGAATCAATATTTCCCAAATGAATAGATTCTTTTGCCTCAAGAATACCATTTTTATCAGTGTAGTGATTCGGTTTCGTAAATCATTTAGGAATTCAGGTGGCATAAATTTTGGATTTTAGATGTCCGCATAAAAAAAATCAAGTGGAGATAAATACGGTGATCTCGCGGGCCATTCGATAGCACTCCTTCGCCCAATCCATCTACCAGGAAACGTTTCATCCAGAAACTGATTTACATAATGGGCAGGAGCCCCGTCTTACTGAAATAGCGTAGTACTTAGACTTGTTACTTAGTAAGTAGCTCAATTAAAATTTTCCTGAACAATTATGTGATCATCAAAAATTAAATGTTTGGGCTGGTGCACCAGCCCAAACATTTAATTTTTGAGGATGTTGAGTATGAACCTCATGGAAGATCCTTGTATTCGAATCGGATCAATTATGGCGATAGATAATGCCATTGAGGAAAAATGGACATTCGACTAAGAAGCAATCTTAGTTGGAAGTATTTATAATTATTTAGGACATTATTTCACAAAATTGTAAATTGTAAAATCTTCATGCAAATCTTGAAGTATTTGGATTTTATTATGTTTCAGAATTCTCTGTACGGTGGCCCGCGTAACTCCCGTTACATCAGAAAATTTGCTGGTACTTAATGTATGCTCCAAAGTAATTTTACCTAGATTTTCAGTATCTCGTTTTTTATTTGCCACTATACCAGTTTGCCGGAATTTCGATAATAATTCTAGGATGTAACCATGATGTACTTCGCACACTCGTTAAATAGATATAAAGAACAATAATAACATATTTCTGGTAATATATTATAAACAGTCTGGACAGTTGTTACGAACACGTTACGAATTAGAAAAAGGTAGGCAGAAACATAAGTTGCAGACGCTGAAGTCAGTTGAACTTCAACGAAATAATTTGTTGAACATTAACAAAATAATATGTAACCTTTGAAATAAACAAAATGGTCCAAAGATTTTTTTTTACATACAAAGCCCTAAACCTGGCCATCCATATGGTTATATTTAAAAACTAGAATATCAAATTTCTAGAACAACATCAATAACTGTGTTCTTAATTTCTTTTCAGATTGTGATGTTGAGGTTGAGTATGCTGTTAAGCTGTATTTTCATGACGAATACTGCCCTGGAGGAGAAGAGCACGGCGTACGGAAACTTAGGGGCGGGCACCCGATTGGACAAACGAGAAATCGCTACCGATTTCGACAAGTACGCAGTCACCTGTTACATATGCGTTAACGTATCGGACAACTTAATTTGCAACCAGTTCGCCATCGACAAACCCTGCAAACCAGGTGTGTATTTATCTTTTTCCTTCTTATCCTTCTTCCTTGGTGGCCATAAGCCATTCACCCATAGACACGTGAATTTTCAAATCTTTGAACATCCCTAATCATGTACAAATCACAAAATACCTCGATAAAAGGTCAAAGCTTGCGATATTGGCCAAAAATACAGGTATATTTCCATACCCGGAATCCAATTTTGTCCCTACCAAGTCGAAAAGCCATTCTATATTTCATACTTTTCATTGAGCGATCCGCACCCTAGCACCAACAAAACCGAACTCTCTTTCCAAATTAAGATGAACTATTTCTTCTTCTTTTTCGATCTAAAAACGTTTTCGTCTTTAACCTGAGTTAAAAGCTATTTAGCCAGCTCATATAAACCATTTCCAAACTCATTTCTAGACAGTTTTAAGATGGTCGAATATTTTAGGCATAATTTTAAAGTCATTTTGGACTTTTCAGACAATTATTTTCTATATTACACTTTTAATCCTCCGATATAGTCCACGGGACTGAACTATAGTCCCAAGTAACACATATAAGTCAAGGCTTTTACCTAATTATTATATCAAAGCTTTATCACACTCTTTGAAAAAGTGTTTGTTCTTAGAACCATATTACTTTAATAAAAAGCTTATTAGACAACACAAAACCTACTTTTAAAACCATAACGCCTATTACGCTTGTAAGTTTTAACTTTGCTTTACTATGGAATATTATTTATACCCTTATAAAGCCATATTTACTTAAGAGACCCTTAAGGCCCATTTAGCTTTATGGCAGTATATTGATTTAAAGTTTTCTTAAAACCAAATTTCTGGAGGAAACTGTCCTAACCTTGTGCTGTGAGTACTTTTTACAGCTAATACATTAATTTGCTTTATTATACTCCTGTGTGCTAGCTTCTCAAGAGCAGTTTGTCTCGATGGCAATATATTAAAAGGCATTTTAGCTTCTAAATCAAATGATAGGAGATTTTATAGGTAGTGTCGTATTCAGGTTAATCTAATTAGCAAATGTAATGTCATCATTATTCGACAAGTGGGTTTAAGTAAAAAGCAGTGGGGAATTTTATAGAAAAGTAAAAAATGCATCTTTTTTCTCATTTCATGTGGTCTTAAAGTCGACTTTGTGTCCAAAATCATGTATTGACGCTGTGCACATTGCCAAAATGTGTCATTATTTGCTGCTTTATGTAAATTAACTAATACATATTAATTTTGTAGGTGAAACATTTTGTCATACATTGCATATAATGGATTCGAAGGGAACAAGCGTTTTAGTCAACAAAAAATGTACCACGGACAAGGAGTGCCAAAGAAACAAAGTTGGGTGCATTGAAATAGACTCGCAACTCGTAAGTTATATCACTATATAGTAAAAAATGTAGCGAACATCGCAATATGTTATGTTCATAAGTAGTCCAAGTTACCAACTATTATTTAATATTATATTATACAAAACTTAAAAAATAATACTTTAAGATGTACCACAAGTTTTGTGAAGTACAAAAATACCTTCTGATGTATTTATACTTCACATATTGAAATCCGTTTTTATACTTTTGGTTAAGAATTTATCAAACCTTTCTTGTTTGTTGTTTTGTTTGTAACTTTGTAAATCTCTTAAGCTTTTTTTATGTTTATGTTTTTAATAAAATAATAAAGGTTAGTAAAAAAACAATTTTTTGAAATTAAATTATTATTTCTTAATTTTTTTTAAATACAGTGTGTACCACCAAAAACTGTCAATGGTCTATATATATACATATATATACGAGGTGTGTTCAGAAAATATCGGGAATTTTCGTTTTTTGAAACAAATATTTATTTATTCGTGTACATTAATGTTGTCGCCTTCAAAGTAGTCCTCATTGGATATTATGCACATGTGCCAGCTCTTCTTCCAATACTCGAAACACTTCTAAAACTCGATCTTTGGGATAGCCTTTAGTTCTTTCAGCGATGCGCTTTTAATGTCATCTATGCTTGCAAAACGACGGCCCTTTAAGGTTCTCTTTATTTTTGGGAATAGGAAAAAGTCAGACAGAGGCATGTCCGGCGAATAGGGAGGCTGGGGCATCATTACAGTATTGTTTTTGGCCAAAAATTTTGTTCAAAATTTAACAATTTTAGAACAAATTTTTCTGCCACGCGTTTCATACCCAAAACATTCGAAAAAATTTCATGGGATGAGCCAATCGATATACCAACATCATCAGCGACTTCTCTGACGGTTTATAACCATTTCTTCCACTTTTTCCATGTTTTTATCGGTTGTTAATGTGCTTTTGCGTTCAGGGCGTTCGTCATCTTCAACGTCTTCACGGCCATCTTGGAAATTCTTATACCACTTGTAAACTCTTGTTTTACTTATAGCAGGCTTACTATAGGCCTTTGTTAACATTTCACAGAATTTGTTTCATTTTTTAAGCAAAATTGGATACAAATTCTTTGATCCATTTCTTTTAACGAACGAAAAATCGCCGAGCTCATAAAACACGCCTAACCTTAGCGGCTACCACAGACAAAGTAAACAATGAAAACAGCTTAAGTTTATATCATACTTCGGGGGCATGTATACCAACATAATAAATAAAATTTTATGACAACCGGACCCTCCGAACCCGCGAAATTGAACAATTCCCGTTATTTTCTGAACACACCTCGTATACCTTGTTCAAAAGGTCTTTTAAACCTCTAAATAATTCACTTAATGAATCACCATAAATAAAAGTCCAAAGTGATTAAATCTGGTGAGCTTGGGGCCACTTTAACGGTCCTTTTCGGTTAATCCATTTGCCAGGAAAACGCAATTTAAGCCAATTTCTGACTAGCAATGCATTCTTCTCATCAAGTATCAGGTTTCCATCCCTATCTCTCTGACTTTCGAGTTCTTGTGTAATAAATGCAACAATAGTATCATCTAGTAAATTTAGGTAGTTATCTGCAGTGAGATTTCCTTTAAGAAAAATTGGGCCAAAGATTTTATTTTTCAAAATGCCGGCCCAAACATTTAATTTTTGAGGGTGCTGAATGTGCACAAATCTGAGGATTTTCAACACTCCAGTAACTACAATTTTGCATTGGTCGCTGAAATATAAATACCTATAGATATGCCCAAAATAATGATCCGGAGGGGACTTTAAGCCGTCGGTCCGTTCCTACCCCTAACCCGCACAAGCCATTCAGTTGGCTTATGGGACATCTTAGTTTGGATGTAAGGGTGGAACTAAAAGAGCACTTTATTTATCTTTATTTATTTCCTATATATAGTTTATATATAGGCTATAAATGAATTTTCTCCATTAATAATTTAATTTTGCTTTTTTTTTCTAAATTTATTTTCAGAAAAAATTAAAAATTCAAATAAAAAGTTTAGTATAACTGGAGCACAATATTCAAAACCACCTTTCAATTTACTTGTTAAATGCTGAGGTATAGTACGCATAATTTTTTGTTCGAATGTAACATTTGAACTGAACTAATAATAAATCAAGTAAATATACAGGTTGTTTTGTTCTTATGAGTTGAAAATAAGAAATTTGTCATTTGAAATAGGTACATTCATTTAATTTAGTCGATTTAAGAATTATCTCTAAAATTAATACAACATACATCTAATGCAAGCATTCTAAATACGCTAAAGCTTTTGCCTGTTATACATGGTTAAGTTATACCAATAAACAGAGCTAAAGTAATTTATGTTAGGATAAACAAGCGATTGGACTGGAATTAATTTTGTTTTCTCATCAAGCATAAATTTAGAAATATTTAAGTTTAAACCACCTTATATCCTCTAATTTTATTTTTTTTAACTGTAAATAGACAAGGACCCAAGAAGTAAAAAAAACTCACCTTTTCTTTTCTCCCCCCTTCACCTATTTATACAGGGCTATGCAAAAGTTACTGTGCAGATCTAACTTTAAAAAATTGTACTTCTTTTGCTAATAAAGCTATCAACATTAAACAAACTGTTAATTGTTAAGAAAATATTTCTCTTTTAAACCATATAGGACAGTTTTAGTTATTGATGCCCTAAATGGTCTTTTTTGGGATTTTTTTTAAATGCAATTTTTTGTCAAAATTGTCTAATTTTATAAATTCATATATAAAATTTTGCTGGCAAGTTGTTTTAAGAATATATATATTCAATAAAAACATTTTCAAATAATATTAGCCAAGAGTTATTGATTTTTTTATTAAAAAAATGGCACTAATGTAAAAATAATAAAGGAAAAACTTCCTTATTTTGCCTGTACTATCATCCCCTTAAAGGATATCAACTTATTTGGAGACACCCTGTATGGGCCATAGACACTTTCGATGGACACACTGTATATCAAATAATTCAAATTTTGTTACAACCTACAGGGTGACCCATGAAAAACAGTTCAGCAAGGTTTACGGCTTTGTATGTAAAAATAAAAACAATCGTATACTTTTGATTTCAAGGGGACATATTTACACATTAATTACATCACTGTTACTTCAACCCCTTTGTTGTGATACATCTTTTGAAAGGGCATTACATTTTCTTTAAAATGACACTTTTTTTTTAAATTGTGTTGCTGGTTGCCAAGAAATTTAATTTAATTTTATTGATTAGTACATTATTATTAATTTAATTTTATTGATTAGTACAATGATTTGTACCTAATTATATCTTTCTATAGAATCTTTCTATATGAAGTGGCTAATTTAGGGATATAATTTTGGTTTTGACTTATCATAAAAATTTAAAAAAAAATAAGCGGCGGTATCAGGCATTTATAAGATACCTTTAGAACATTAAATGAAGATATCTTTAAGACGTCTATCAAAAGATGTCGTTTTTAGATCTTCAGACGTTCAGGCATAATACAGACATAGAAAAGACATCTTCAAGACGTTTTGTGCTATCTGGGTTTCCATTCGAAAAAACACCCTTATTTGTCGTCCGAAGATTTTTTTTATTCTCACATACATACAAAGCCGCATATCTTGCTGGACTGTTTTCAATAGCCACTCTGTGTATTAGAAATTTTCTGTTTTTTAGATGTGCGTCTCGTGCTGTGATCAAGACTACTGCAACACAAACGTGCCCGTCAACTCTTCCAACGCCGTCTTCGATGACAAGATCACGAAAATGCGGATGCTTGCCAAAAACCTATTCACCGAAAGGGAGAAGGCCATGACCACTACATTAAAAGACTCTAGTGTAAATAATTTTATCAGCGTTAACCTAGTGATACTGTGTTTATATTTAATTTTTACTTGCACTTAAGGGTTTGGGGTTTAAGCAACTAATCTTAAGTACTACTAATTAAATTAAAATTGGTTAAGTGGTCAAAATATTTTTTAGTCTGGGTTATTACGAGTAACTGATTTACCTTTTATCTAAAACTAAGCATAAGAATATTTATATTAAGTTACTATTAACTTAATTTTTTTTTCATGGATAACTTGACAGAATAAATTTTTGTAAATAGTAATTTTGTATACAGGGGTGAGTCGCAAACAAATGGGTCACACTGTATAAAAATGCCATTTTTAACCCAGACTGAAAATAAGTCATAAGTTATGACCACTTTTCAAATCAACAAATTTTCAAAAAAATTTAAATAAATTAATTTTATCTTTACATTTATAACAAAAAAAGTTTGTAAATTAAATTACAAGCAAAAAACAGAATTCTGTGTTGATTACAATATTTATTTTTATCAGATAATATTAAACTACTTTTTTTAAATTAAAATAAACTGCTATTTTGCATATAAAATAGGGTGAAATTAAAAGTTTTTTTTTAAATTTTTTACAATTTCAGCATTATACAGGGTAATACACCTATCTTATTCATTAAAAGTTTATCGAGATTGGAAAAAGATATCGATTTGATATGTATAGAAATTATAAGACAATGTAAATCATAATCATAATCATAAAATAGACAAACTCATAGAAAAAGAATAAACAAAATATTGCGTAAATAACCACAGATTTGTTCTTTAAACAGTTCAGAATTTTATAACCAAAACAAACCTAAAGAAGGAATCTGTATTTATTTTATTGGTTACTGTGATGGCTACAAAATGGCGATAGTGATATTATGTTTAAATCGATTTATTATAAGAAAAATAATACCATTTATTATTGAATTTTGAAAAACGTGTGAAGTATACTTTATCTGAAATTCCGCAACAGTGTTGCCACAACACCTGCTTATTTCCTTGGATGTAGGCGTGCCTGCCTCGCGTATGCTAATACGAGAGAAGGAGACAACTATGATATCGCATTGTAATAGAACGAGACAACAAGGCTAACGCCAATCGTGAGTCTAAATTAGTTCAGGTATGCTTCTGAGCCAATCATCCAGCTATAAATATTAGTTTAAATTGCGGTCGTTTCAAATAATTTAAATGTTGCTGGGTTATACCCAGTGGGTATTCCACGTATAAAATCAATCAATTTTATTGACTATTTCACAATTCATGTAATCCAAATATTAAAAATGTATAGTATATTATAGAAAGTAAAATATTTAAATTTTACTTAATTTTTTAATTCTCTATGATGAGGCACTGCCTCACCTGCCTCCCCTGACAAATTTCAAATCGATATCTTTTTCCGTTTTCCATAAACTTCTAATAAATAACTTAAATGAATCACCTTGTATATAGTAATTTTTGATTTATAAATTTTAAGTAGATACCAACATCATAATTTTTAAAAAACCTGACTTTCTTTTAATTGTTTTTCAAAACAAATACGAATATATGTGATAGTTAATTTTTATAACTACTTGTGCTTGTGCGTTTTTTCGATAATCAAAACTGTAAAACTTGTAAAACTTTTGATGTTAGTGGATGCTTATATCAAATAAAGTCGTTATTATTATTATTATTCAAACAATAATTTAATTACATACATGTAGGTATGTAGTCAATAATTTATTTAAAATGTTTTTGGTTTTGTAAATAAAATAAAATGACTGAAATTAACTGTGTAAAGTAAATAATACTTATGGTGGCATATGGTGTATTTTTTATATTTTTTTCGTATGCAGTTTCTACCGAGTATCACACAGTAAAAAAATAATAAAACTAAATGTATATTTTCTCTACGTCATTTTTGTTACCCACTGTTTATATAAAAAAAGATTATTAAATCCTAAATGAAACTTTAATTTTAATCAATTATTAAAATTTTTAAAGCTTAATCAGTTATTACTTAATAATGATTTAATTGTGATAATTGTGTTAATTTAAAAACATATTTTATATCACTTTATATTATCTATAAGAAATGTTAATATGTAAAATAAATAAATTATTATTATTAATATTATTAAATAGGTGAATTTTTAAATAAATACTTAGTCTATTACATTGTTTTGATGTAAGATAGTTCAAGCTATCTTCTACTTTGTTATTTAGATGTTAGATGTTTAACCCTCCGATAGTCCAGTGATAGGTAAACAGGACCTTTAAAAAAGATACTAAGGGACATATAGATCCTTTTATTATAAAATATTATGTCTTCTCCTGTTAAAAGTCTTACTTTCTCTTAATTAAGTCGAAAAACTCAGAATAAGGCTTAGTAACTCAGACTAATAGCAAGATTTGGGTGTCTTCTGAAAGAGTTAATAAGACTTAATTAATAAGACTTTTAGGAGAGAAATTATTTAATTATTTTGTTGTTATAAGCCAAGTTTATTGCGTAGGTAATTAACTATATAATAACATATATGTAAGATGTAATAATTATAACAATTTGAATGCACTTGACGCTTATAAGCAGCATTTTAAGTTTAAATAACTACAACTTTACTACTAAGTCAACTTTAAAGTATTTTTTACGGTTAATCAAAACGGTTTTATAACGGTATAGATACGAAAAATTACCAAATTTGGGGAATGGTTTATTTCGTTATTTTACCTACATAATAACCTTTTGGATCTACTAAGAGAATAATGTAATAAAAACAATATAAATACCATAAATTTACGTAAAAATAACGTTATAATTACTAACTGTTTGCTCTCTCTTTCAAAAACATTGACATTCGTAATTTTTTTGTTCTTTTAATTTATATTTTACAAAATGGTACTTACAAAGTAATAAAGGTCACCCTAGAGTAAAATTATAAAATATAACTTAAATTGTCAAAACTAATAATATTTTGCATTAAAACTCAAACCCACATTATTTTATTGATGAAAATAGGCAGGATACATCTTAAAAATTACATACCCTCTAAATATTTTACAGTTTTAAGAAAAATTATTGCTTGGGTAAAAATTCAACAAAAATTTTATAAAATCTTTTAAAAATTATTTAGTTTTAATCATTTTTTAATAACTGAAACTTTTTTTATTATATTTTAGAAAAAACATTTACGAAAAAATATCATATAAATGTTTAGATAAGTAATGGATGCCATCTTAAAAAATTCATTATGGCGACCTGAAAAAAAATTTTCCTTAAAGTTTTATTTTTCACTTTAAGCTTATTTTTCCTTGTTTAGTCAATATTAAAAGTATTTATTATCACTAATAACCCTAAAAAATACAAGGCGAATAGGAATTATTTAAGGTTAAGGTTAAAATTATGACTTATGAGTAACATTTACCATTAAGTAAAAATTCTGACATTAAAATTACCGTTAAATTTTCCTTTAGGTGAAATACACTTATAAGTAATTTTCTTTCGTAAAAAATACGTCCCTCATAATACTTTAAAGTGTTGAAACATAAGGGTTATTAAAATAGGTAAAAATAACATAAATAAAACTTATTAAATAACTTTAAAAAAAGTTTTACTTTAAAGTAAATTTTTAAGGTTAATTTAACGAAATATTTACTTAAATTAAGTAATACTGCCTCAAAGCTCTACACTTTTACTTAAAATGCTGCTTGGGTATATTCATCTGACCATTGTTCCAAATAATTGTTCTAAAAACGTGTACTTTTAGGCGCAATGTCGATTTTCTCAGCTGACCAATTAGATCACAGCTGACCGTCATGTTATCGCATCTTCCCGCGTTTTATAGATAGCGTATGCATTACGAAAAATTATAATTGTTATAGTTATTACACCTTATGTCATCAAAAAGTGAGCTGTATGTACACAAACCAAACGTATTTCTCAACTGTTTTATTGTGATGAATTAAAATAAACTTTGCTTACCTATATTGTAAACATTGCTTCTGTGTTGTTTATAAGCCTTATAACAAGACACAAACAATGTTTAAAAATACTTTTCTCTGTGATTTTTTTCACAATAACCAAATACAACATCTCTGAAAAATTCCGGATATTTATTTTAATCGCTATATTAGACTGGGCCAAAAAAATCTACTATTTTTTTTTTTGGAAAGTATATCGAAAATATTGTTTGGGGTGACAAAAAAAAGTTATGGTAAAAGTTTGAGTCCATAATATTAATATTAAGAGGTCTATCATCGCAATTTTAGAACTCCCAAATCATTGAGTTTAACAAAATTGACTTAATAATATTTTTTGAAAAAAATTGAATGCCCTACAAAAAAGTTTTGATTGGAATTTTCCGTCAGATGAACCCTTTTCTTACAATCATGCCGTAAAAATTGGTATAGTTTTGTAATTTGATCTTTTAAGTTTGGAATTTTGTAATTCAAGTAAAAATCATCAATGGGAAATCAAATGCTCCACAAAAAAGTCTTTTATCATTTTTGGCTAAATTCACCCCATCAAAAGTTATTCAAGGTTAAATTTGAAGTCAAAACGAAATTTTAACCTTGAATAACTTTTGATTGAGTGAATTTAGCCAAAAATGTTACGAGGCTTTTTTTGTAAAGCATTTGATTTCCCATAAGAATATTTATCGGTTTTTTATGGGTACTATTTTTACATGAATTACAAAATTCCAATTTAAAAGATCAAAATGTAAAACTATACCAATTTTTAAGGCATGATTTTAAGGAAACCGTTCATCTGACGGAAAATTTCACTTTAACCTTTTTTGTAGAGCATTTAATTTTCTTAAAAAAATATTTTCAAGTCAATTTTGTTAAACTCAATGTTTTGGGAGGTCTGAGCCTAAAACTTGCTGAGGAAAAAAAAAATTAAAATTGCGATGATAGAACTTTCACAAACCATATTTTCAATATCCTTTTCAAAAAAAAAATAGTTGATTTTTTTGGCCCAGTCTAATATACCTATATATTTCTTTGCTGAAAGTTTTAATTTCATCTTATTTTTCAAAAATAATACACAATATATGTATTTTGTTTGCTTTAAATTAAGACTTTATACAATAAGACGAAATTAGCGTTAAACTTAAGATACATAACCACTATTATTTTACTGCATTCTCAATTCAAATGTCAATGTTTGACTTTTTAATTTGGAGGGTATATGCTCTATACTAAAGTATATAGTACAGGTGCCATTCAAGATTCAAGAATTTCCATTCTCTACCATATTTGTGCTCAACTCTGTCTTAAACTTGTTTACCCAAATATCTACAATGTAGCAACAAATTTTTAGCGCATCATAGCAGAAAATAATTAACCTTTAACGTTATAAAAGGTCCTAAGGGCCTTATCGCCGATTGGAGGGTTAAAGCCTTTTGTAGTTAAATTTTATTTGTAGTTTATGGATTATTATAAATAAAAATAATAAATCTAAAATCGTTACTGGTGTTTTATTTATTAGTTAAACCAAGGTGTAATAAAATACCCAAATAGGTATATATATAATCTTTGGCCAACGTTTGTGATCGAAAATTGGCAAAACTTTGACCAGTAGGTATATAGTATACCTATATAAATAAATCAATATTTAGGTTAATCAGCTGTTTAAACTAAATATTAATCTCTATAGAGACAACACTCATTGCATTAAATTAAAATCATGACTTAAATTTCTCTGTTTTAATTATTTTTATAAGTCCCTTGTGAAAATTTTTCTCTAAAAGTTACAAATACAAAACAAAACTGTTTTCTTTAAAAAAATAAACTTAAAAAACATGTTATACAATAAATACAGATGAAATTGTATACTGGGTTGCCAGATGCAATATTTTTTTTATTTTAAGGTTGGTAAACATTAAAATTATCATTATTATTCACTAGTGGTTGAATAAATCTTGTCTTAGTGCAAAAAGTTGTTTCTATAAGAAAAAATAACATCTACTTCTAATATTTTAACTTTTTAGAAGTGTTATTTATTTGGGTAAGCATTTTAGTTCTTATATTACACTATCAAAGGAATTTTGTGTAGGTACACTTATTTTTTGTGTAGTTTAATAAAATATAGATAATGATATTCGAACAATCGTACAAATCATATTTAGTAAGTTTATTTTAAAGCAAGAACTTGTTGAAATCATTTAAGGTGTGGTCAAGTTTGAGGGATTCCCCACAAGACTACTTGCATATCGTAAAAAAAATAAGACATCATTAAGTACTGTTAAACTGATACATAACCTCAATCTGGATGCAAAATATCGATATACATATTCCAAGTTCTTTTATTTTTCAAAATTACGGATTTTTTTTTCAATTTCCCATAGCTTGGCGACATTTTACGTTGCTACAATTTACCCAGGTGCGATTTGTACAAGATTGGATGCTCTTTTAGTTGTTGCAACAATTTAACCACACTTATATATATATATATATATATATATATATATATATATATTTACACATGTATTATACGACAAATTTTGATTTTTTTCCCATGAAAAATTTCTATAGATTTTGAAAATAGACTTAAAAAATGATACTCGTGTCTCGGCATTTTTTCAGACCACGTCATTATTTTTAAGTGCGATCCAATAAAATGTTTTCCACGGTATTCGGCACATAATATAAAACAGATTTGATAACAGCTAGACACTGTCCAAGTAGTAGACAGTAGGTATATTTTTATGAAAAATTTATTCACTGAATCAATGGACAACCATTAGGATTATTTATTTATTTTAATTATACATAGGGTGTTGCACATTTACGAAATACATGTGTTTCACGTTCGTGGTCCATTGAGAGTTTCTGGAGAACGAGAAAAATATGGGTTTGAATTTTAAAAGCGTTTATAATCCATTAAGCCTATTTTTCTATAATATTTTAAACAAAATGCCACTTCCGGCTTGACCGGAAGTGACATCAACTTTGTTATTTTAAATGGAACACGCCATATATTTTTACATTTTTAAATTCTACATAAAATTTTGAGTAAAATTACTGAACCATGTCCTATAATAATACCTATAGTAAATAGTTTTGAAGTTAATAATTTTTTTCCGTTAAAATATGACAAATGCGCGTCAATCAAAAATAGCCTATAACTCTCTTGCCATTAGGTTTGCAGAAATGGGGGTGGAATGTCAATTCCTTAACATACCTCGTGTTACATTTAAAATAAAAAAGTTATTAACGTTTCAAGTTAGCCCAATTTGCTCTGGGTTTTCTCGGGTAATTTGTTGAAAAATGTTAAAGAATTGACATGGAATTTTTTAAACAATGTTTTAAGATTCCAAACATTTTACCCCCATATCCGTAAACCTAATAGCAAAACATCTAGAAAACTATTCACTTTAGGTATAGGACATGGTATAGTAATTTTACTCAGAATTTTATGTAGAATTAAAAAATATAAAAATATATGGGGTGATCTATTTGAAATAACAAAGTTGATGTCATTTCCGGTCAAACCGGAAGTTGCATTTTGTTCAAAATATTTAAAAAAATAGACTTAATGGATTATAAACGCTTTTAAATCTCAAATCTACATTTTTTCTGTTCTCCAGAAACTTCCAATGGACCACGAATGTGAAACACCCTGTATATCAAGTGGTGTTTTTAGGTTATGATACCACTATAGATTCGAAAGCAATGTATAATCGTCAAACTAAAAGATCAAGATTTGTTTCCAATATATATTTAATATAAGATAAATACAAATCTGTTGTTTTATTTTAAAAAATAAAAAATTCAAACCAGAAATATTTTTTTTACTTAAAAAAATAAAATTGTTATTTTCTTTAAGTATAATTTTTGTATTATGTAAAAACATAAAATATTTGAAGAAAAAAAAATGATTTATAACAAAATAGAGAATTAAAAATCTATAAATCCAGGTAAAAAGGAAGAAAGATTTTTATATAAAAAAACTTACTACAAAAAACGTCTTATTCATTAATGCAATAAAATGCATAGTAAAAAAGATATAGAGCATTTAATAAATTTTACACTTATAACTATTGATTAGTTTTATCCACGGTCTTATATATAAGACCGTGGTTTTATCGATATTTGACAGAAAAATGTATTAAATTCTTTATATCTGGGTGAATATATTGAGATGTCCCCCACGTGAAAATGATTTTTTTTTTTGGTTGTTTCAATGTTAGTCTAGAATGGGGTTTTTGGGAAGCCACCAGGTCTAGTAATAACATAACATAAGTGGTTCTGCACTAATGAAAGAATTTTAAGAAATCATACATTTTTAATATTAGAGCTTCACGGCAGATAGATTCACGGAGGTTAGGATTTCGTATGTTTTTTTTAAACCTTTGTATAATTGAAATAGGTTATTGTATCTTTTGACACCTTATTATTTTTTTTTAAATACAATTGTACATAAATAAAATATTTAAAAAAAAATCTACTTACTGAGATATTACACTTCATGGTGGATAGGTTTTTAAATAGCAAATTAATAAACGTAAACTTTTGAATTATAAAACAGCAACACTCTCATCTGCATATAAATTCTAACTGACCTTTAGGAATCACATGCATCTATAATGTCGAAAACCAAGGTTTTTGCTTATTTAAAATTATTAAAGCGCCATCCGTTGCATAAAATTTAAAGGAAAAACATATTCACGGAGGATAGAATCAATTTTTGTAACAAATGTTTATAAAAATTGTTTCTATTAATTTTTAATAATATTTTATATTTGATTCGATTGCTTTGGATGTGTTTAATTTACTTAGTGAACTGATATTTTTAGTATGCTTTTACTACCTCAGATATTTGAAAACATATAGGTTAACCTAGAAAGAGTAACAGTCACGGAGGATGGGTTTTAGACTTTTAAAACATTGAAAAAATAATTAATTGCGGTTAAAAATCTGGAATCTGAGCTGTAATATCTACTTATGAAAGATCAAAACACAATAAAAGTGTAGGTCAAACTCATTTAGTTTTATTAAATATCACGGGCTAACACCATCGGGGGACATTTCGTGAGATTCGCCAATGTTTTAAATTATACATTTTTTTGAAATAATACATACAATCTTTTTTATAGGAAATTAAATTTTCTATAAAAATCTTTTTTACTTTTTACCTGTAACTCTAACCGTTTTGCCGTAAATTGTAAAATACCGTCGAGCTAAAATATCCATAATTTCCTGTTATTTAAATTCAATTTGACTTTTACGGGGACGATATGGGTTATTTCATGTCAAAAAAATACTCCCTTTGGAGAAAAAATTTAATAAAATATTTTACTAGAAGTAAAATTTTTAGATTGGTAAAATGTTTAATTTTATTTTTATCCACTTTTCAGTAAATTTGACCTAAAGTGAGTTTGTCAAACTTCCTACGAAAATGTGGTATCGTCCAAATTTGATTTCCAATCAAGTTTCCTACTCTTTTGGTCTAAAAATTGAAATTGTTCAATTGCCAGAGCAACGATGTATTCCGATAGCCAAAGGATCATCGATTGAAAAGTTTATTGGGTTTTTCCCCACTTCAGATACCGACTTTGGTATCCAGATTGACAACACCAATAACGATAGACGCATATCATTTAATTTGAAAGGCACCAAGGATTTTGGAACTTTCGTCGTCAGAGCTGGAAGCAAAGCCCTACTGAAAACTGTCACCGACAAAGGCCGACATCTTCATTTTATCAGTCAATTAAGCGACAAAGGTAAACAGGTGGTGGCAGCAAATGCCGCGCGTAGCAACATAACCTACAAACAGTCTTCCGAAATTTGCTCAAGACTGGTGTTTGATGTTGCTATTGAGGAAAGCAAATTCGCCGTTTGTGTAAAAACTTTGGCAGATAAAGAACTAGAATTTAAGGTATCGTCCAATGATACTGTTGAAACATTGAGACTCTTGATTGAAGCCAAAGAAGGAATCCCGGTCGATAAACAGAGATTGGTCTTTGAGGGCAAACAATGTGAAGACGGTCGCTCAATGAAAGATTATAATATACAAGCTGGTAGTACTCTCTATTTGCTACTTAGATTATGTGGTGGTGGTGTATGCTCCGACACGGTTGAAGGTGCTGATGACGTCAAGCAAAGGTTCATGGCTTCTTCTACGTCCAACAAAAATGGCGACATTGAACGTGGAGCAATTTGCTTTGGAAAAAAAACCAATCAAACTTTTACAAAATGTCGCGATTTCAACAGATCCGACGTTGATAATGCGAAATCATTCACATTGGAATTTTTTTTCAATCCAAACATGTAGATCCTTAAGTTGTGTGATATTTTTGTAAAAAAATATACAATAAACTATAATATAGTTTTTCTACTCCCACCTTTAAAACGCCCTTTATCGTACATGTTTCCATGACACTAAGTGACCTTTCAAATACACATTGACAAGTTGTGGCTTTATGGAACTTTAGTCACGGGCTGAAGTTAGCAACAGATTTTTAGTCACGGGCTGAAGTTAGTTTTAAGTTAGTTGACAGTTGTCAAATGTCATACAATCGTTCAAATAAAGTGCCTTTCTTGTAAAATAATACTAAATGTAACAATTGTTTTATTATCTCAATACAAAAGTATTAAATAGTTTCTCAACGCCATTATTCGAACATTGTACTGATCTTTTAATTTGGCCGGAAGTAAACTATAACTTAAATTCGGGCACGGACTCCACTGTAAAGTCCTCATAAAACATTTTCTTTACTTTCACTGTGAAAAACTGTCAATTTTCAATATACATTTCGATTTATAATTGTGTTTATAAAATGTAAAAATGTGACATTTGACAGTTTCCCCTGTTGTTTCATAGATGGCGCTTTATACAAATTTTTGATTTAAATCATTTTAAGATAATAATAAGTATTTGTCGTAGAAAAAGAATAGTATGCACCTCGTTTATAAACTTTTCTATACACTCATTAATTTAAGAACTCGCTCGCAAGCTCGCTCGTGCCTAAATTAAATTCGTGTATAAAATGGCGTTTATCAAACTTGATACATAATATTGTATATACCCACTGGGAAAGAAACCTTACAAAATATTGCTGCAATGTTCGCCGACTTTACAAATAAAATATTTCCTGTGCTACTTGCATTAACATAAATGAAATGTTACATTTGAAATATTGCATATAATAATTTCCAACAACCTTAATTTAAAAACATTATTTAAAGATTCACATGGAAAGTTTTTACAATGTTATATTTGTAACATAAAGTATAAGTAAGTAAGTATAAAATGTTGCATAAAAGTTTTTAAACACTACAATTATAATATTGCAGACATAACTTTTTTTAATGTTTCAATTGAAATATTAACACAAGTTTCAAATGAAAAATGTTTGCAACTTTACTTTAAATATACAATAGAAACATTTATTTTGGAATGTTTGGGAATATTTTTGAAACATTGCAATTATAATATTACATTGATAAGTTTTGGGCAATGTTTCAACCGAAATAATACATTAATATGATTTTTGCAATGTTACTTTATATAAACAATATAAACATTTAATTTGCAAGATTTTTGAAACATTGCAATAATAATATTACATTGATGAGTTTTGGACAATGTTTCATCCGAAATATTATTAAAGATGATTTTTGCAATGTTGCTTTATATAAATTATATAAACATTTAATTTGCAAGATTTTTAAAACATTGCAATTATAATATTACATTGATAAGTTTTGGGCAATGTTTCATCCTAAATATTACATTAAGATGATTTTTGAAATGTTGCTTTATATAAACAATTGTTTATTAATATAAACATTTAATTTGCAAGATTTTTGGAACATTGTAACTATAATATAATATATTATATTACATTTATAATTGTAACTTTAGTTTTGGACTATGTTTCATCCGAAATATTGCATTAAGATAATTTTTGCAATGTTGTTTCCAGACTGACTTGCCGATGCATCTCGCCGCTGTCTTGGTCATTTATATCTTTATAAGTGAACATTGCCGAGCTTGATGCGTGTCTCACGTCACCGACTGCCTTACACTGATGAGACCAAACAGGTCGAAACAGTCTGTTATTTATATTAATTAATAGGCCTATAGCTTACGGATAAATAATTATAATTAATTATTATAATAATAATTCATATTAATTTAATTGCAATGTTCCTGTAATGTTGCAGGAACCTTTCATTAACAAAAATAACATTTAGTAACATTGCAATTAATACATTTAAGCAACATTTTATTTGTAAATGTAACCCAGATAGCACCATTCGTCCAATGGACGTCCGTTTAAGGTCCATTTTAAGTACATTGGTCCACGGACTAAAAATGGATGTACTATGTACGTCCATATATTTACATCCTTTGTACGATTTTAATGGACGTCCATATAGTGTCTATTTTACGTCCATAATTATCATTACAGAAATGCAAGTTAAAACGTATTGTTGGCTGCATAACAACAGTTATGATCAATCTCACTGACATTCAAGCAAGCGGGTGCTATAAAGGACTTAAGCTATCAATGAAATATTAAACACTTGTAGTATTGCAAATGTAATGTTCCTGAGTCGAATACAAGGATTTCCTGCAATGTTCAACATTGAATGTTGTAACTTTTAGCAACTTTTAGAATATTTATATTCCTAGTGGGATTGTTACTGAGCCAGACAGAAAATTTTCTGCAACATCGCAATGAAAATACAGTCGCAAAAAACAGTTAAAGTAAGCAAAAAAGCAGGTCCTGGATGCTGGAGGAATGGTTCAAACACCTTATAGACGTCCATCGGTGGACGACTTATGGATGTCCAAAGTTGTGACATCTGGACTCTAAACGGATGTCCATGGGACGTCCATAGAAAAAAAATGGACATCCTATGGACATACAGACGTCCACGAGCATACGTCCATTGGACGTCCATAGTATACCTTTGTGCTATCTGGGAATGTTTCTGAACCATCAGGCTTTGTTGCAATGTTCCTGCAACATTGCCACAAGGTTTTTTGTAACATTACACCTAACAAATGTAATGTTGCAGGAACATTACATGAACAAAAATAACATTTAGTAACATTGCAATTAATACATTTAAGCAACATTTTATTTGTAAATGTAATGTTTCTGAGCCGGACATAAGGCTTTGTTGCAATGTTCCTGCAACATTGCCACAAGGATTTTTGTAACATTACATCTAACAAATGTAACGTTCAGTAACATTGTAGAAATATTATTTTTCCCAGTGGGTAGTTAGGTAGGTATTTAACAAATTCTGGATACTTTTTCGACGGACTGTACTTTTGATGTTAAAATGTCATATGTCAAAAATAAGGATTACAAAATGACAAATGTCAAAAATGACAGATGACAGAATTTAAATTTTTAAAAATGACAGATCTCAAAAATGGTCAAAATTTACAAATTTTTAAAATGGCAGCTGACAAAATTAACAAATGTTAAAATTGAGAAAAAATAAAGTTTTGAAAGTCTTAATTTAAAATGTTAAAATGTTTTCTTCAATAAAAGTATAATATTAGCCATCTTTTTTACGTTAAAAAGCTTATTATTCTAAATTCTATAATATCAATTCCTATGATTGGTTCTTGTCCCTATTGGAACAAGCCTGCTTAATAAATCTTATTCTATTCGTTGGGAGCCCTGAATATAGATATATCTCCAATGAACAGAATAACATTTATTACTAATAACAAAAAATAATAGTCGTCTTATATAAAGCAGTATTTAAAAAATAAGGTAGGTAGAAGGTAGGTATAAGTAGATTATTTTGTGTCTTAATTTACAATAAAATAAAATTATACTAATAAACCATAAAATGTAATAGATTTAATCTATAGATTTTAGGTTTTATGAGTATAATTTCATTTTATTGTAAATTAAGACACAAAATAATACTTTATTTTTTAAATACTGCTTTATATAAAAACACTACTATTTTTTGGGTGACATTCACAATATCGAAATTCATTATATCGAATTCAAAATATCGAACACTTTTTATCGAAAATCAAAATATCGAAAATACAAAATGTCGAAAATCATAATATCGAAAATTAAAATGTCGATTTGAAAATTTCGAAATTTTATTTAATCGAATTTTCAATTTATCGAAAATAAAATCTCGACCGCTGTCATACAGGTTATGACGAATAGCTGTCATCTTGGTTATGCAGGTACCTACACTGCATTGTGCCATACCAAACCAACCCAAACTTAACAACCCAACCGACCCCGCCCCATTGGGCCCCTCCCGCCCCATTGAGCAATAGAGGTATAATATATCTAAGGGCAGGCTGGATTGTGACAATGGGGCGGGAGGGGCCCAATGGGGCGGGGTCGGTTGGGTTGGGTTGTTAAGTTTGGGTTAGTTTGGTATGGCACAATGCAGTGTACCTGCATAACAGGGGTGTTTCTGGAACTTTGAAAACTGTGCAGCCATCTAGCGTGATATTGTACTAACTAAGATCAAATTGTACTAACCGCGAAAATTCAAAAACTGTCCAAATTTAATCAACATCAGATTTCAACTTCCAGAATCACCCTTGCTTACGTAAAATTATAATAAATAAACTACTGGCGCTTTGTGTTTTCTTATGGCAAATCTACAAAAAAGTAGATGATAAGGCTTTATGCAATACAAACTGGGTTTAGTTGTGTAATTATTTAGGAAGTTCAAAAGAAAAGTAATAAACAGCTAACATGCCCATTACATTCACTATCACCTCACAGATTCACAGCTAAGTGCCGACACCGTTGAAGTTGACATTTGACGCCTTGCGCCACATTCCCTTCATAGAGAAACTTTATGATTCCCTCCGTAATGTAGGCTCCGTTACCAACAGTAAAAAAACAGTGGCTAGAAATTTTGTCTCAATTTTGAGATTCGTTTTATAAATTTTTTCTAATTAATTAATTGCCTTTAAGGCAATTTTGAAAATTGTACTAGAATTGCCAAAGAGGTGCTGACGTACTAGAAGCTATTTTTTTGTACTAGAAAAGTACAATTGTACTAAAAATCACACCCCTGCTGCATAACCAAAATGACAGCTATTCATCATAACCTTGAGTAATACTTTGCTACATTTAGCCTTTAGTTGAAAATAAGGTTAAAATATGCGACGGTTGAGCACACACATTTCTACGTCCGTCCGACGGTCGAGCACACACTTTTCTACGTCCGTCCGACGGTCGGGGAGACAATACCTTTAATTATTCGACATTTTCAAATCGACATTTTAATTTTCGATATTATCATTTTCGACATTTT